GACTGCAAAATGCGGCTAATAACATTTAACAAGTGTTTCTATCAGTTTCATTTCTGATACGATAATGATACTGACAATGATAATGAACTGATTTTTGGAAAGTCGGACAGACAAATGTCCGATATTCACTTATTCGGACAGAAATTCCGAATAAGTAAAGTTAAGTTTTTCTACGTACTATGATTCTAAGATACTTCAAAGATTTGATTAAAAAGATGCAGTAACATGCAATTTAACTTTATCTTAACTTGTTCTAAAATATATTTAAATCGTTAAAAGGAACATAATGAATCTTTTGAATAAAAGAAGAATATTGTTTGAAAGAATAATATAATTGTTTAAGTTAAAGAAAAAGCAAAATTCATTCAAAAAATATTTTATTTAAAGTAAATAAATATGTTATTTGAAAATCAAACAATCATATTTGTTACTTCAAACATTAGTATGGTTGGACCATTCCAAGCATTATATTTCTTTGATTACAACAAAATTTATTAAATCCAAAGAAACTTTTCTCTCTGTGTAATTGTGTGGTTTTTCAATTATTTTATCTATTTTATGAATCATACCGCAGTAATATATTTATTTCTTTACCTATATTATACTTTCTCGGCGTTTTCAAATTTTATGAACTTTAATATATCATTTAATAAATATTATATTATTTTGCATGAAATCACAATTTCTCATTCTGCATTATTGTTTGATATGTTTTAATGCTGATCAAAAGCAATTACATGCAATTCGGCATCTAATTACATACATAACGACTCGTTCCATTAAATGCCCCATTAATTCATTCATTCTGATTCCTTTCTTTGCCGGGCAGCTTTAAGTACTCGGATCTATTCTGAAGGCAAACTGTGCATCGTTCCGCGAATTGCAACGGCGTTCATTGGAATTACAACGAGCCATTTATTGCACCACTTTGTCGGGAATGTTAAGAATCGCTCGAGAAAAAAGACGTACCGAGAATATTAATAATAATTTAGTTAGCAAATAGAGAAACTTCAACCGCGCTCTGAGAAGATTTATGTTCAGGACTTTATGCAGAAATTTGAATATTCTTCAAACACAAATTATTTATTAATGCATGCAATATTGTAGTTTTTTTAAATTATTGTATAATTACTATCTCTTAATTATTTAATAATTATTACTTTATCTAATATATTCATTGAAATTTAAAAACCTCTTAATATTTTTTTCTATTATTTCTTTATATTTTTTCTCATATTCATATAAAATCTTTTACAATAAACAACAAATTTTATAATGTATATTTAATATTGCTGAGGGGGGGGGGAGGGAAGCAAACTGGATTACTTTCTAATAATTAGATTAATTGTGCGGACATTTCCGTTCTGAGCTTTGGTCATGACACACAGTTGCAACCGCAGTGCGGAGAGACAAAACATTAATTGAGTTCAAAATCAATTAAACTGTGAATTATTCCTAAGGGAGACAGAGAGAGAGAGAGAGAGAGAGAAAGAGAGAGAAAGAGAGAGAGTGTGTTAATGAATAATTTACATAGAATTATGAACCGCACGTTTGTAATTATTGATTTAGGTTTGAATTCGATCGCGACATATAATTGATCGCATTTATTAGAATAATTAGAAGATACATCGAAACTCAACCATTGAATGAACTCGTTTTCCTCCTAAAACGAAGAGAAATGAATAATGCGTACAGTGAACAAGACAAAATTACAAGCGACAATGAATTACATGAATATTTCCTGAAAAGTAGAAGGATAATTCGTAGATGATACTCATATAGCGGCGTGCCATATCCTATTTTACAGAATTCTATTTTATAGGAATTCTATTTTATAGAAATCTTCATTATGGAAATTATAGCCCTGTGCAAATGACGTACTGAATGGCTTACAAAACAAAGCAGTAAGCGTGATCGAATAGGGATTTAATTGCTACCGATTGGTAATTAGGTATCTACAAACCGTTTGTAACATCAAACCATTTCCATTGGTTTCGGATTCCTAATTAAAGCTTCTAATTAGTCTAATTATAAAATAACTTAAATCGATAAAATAATTAAATCGACGAATTTAAATATCTCTAACTGAATTTAGTTGTACCATTCAATGATGGTCATTGAACTTTCCTCGGTACGAAACACATATACACAAATACAAAACAATCTGAATACTAAATAAAAGAAACGCAAAATAATGAGTAATCACATTTAGCCGTTTAATATACACCGAAAGCGCTATTATCTGTATCTGCTGTATTAAATGTTATAATTCGGTCTCTCTCTTTCTCTTTCTCTTTCTTCCGAAGTAATAATTAACTATTGTTTCCAATTGATCATATAAACAGAATATCTCCGTAAATTAGAATACATTAATCTTTTGTAACAGTAGTGATATGGCAAGGATGTAGACACGTTTTAAGCTTAAGAGCACCTGTCATTTATGTCGTTTTGTATAAAACATCAAAATAATTTTTTCTTCATAAAAGAATTTTTCTTTTATGAAGAAAATTTTTTTCTTCATCAAAATATAAATCAAATCAAGATAAATAGATTTCTAATTATACATCAATGTCTAATTATATGTTTTTCAATTATAGACAATTAAAAATACTGTTTCAATTTTTAGTTTAAACTTTAGAAATATTAGATTAGTTAATTTTAAAGGAGCTTTGCTTTAGTAGATAAGAAGAGAGAGAATCTCAAAATATATCTTCTGAGTTATTTTATTAAAACGCATATTGATACAATTGAAATGCATATTTTTTGGATGTTCACGCAATTATTATTTTGCGTTATTTTTTTAAGATTATTTACATAAAATTACACATCTGCAATATAATTTTAATATATTTATTATAATTTATATTTTTAAATCATGTAAAAAAACAATTTCTATTTTTACATATTAATATCCTTCGTTCCTTAATATATATATATAATTACATTTATATTACAATATTATTTATTTGTAAAAGTCATATTATTACAAATTAAACTAGTAAATTGTAGCGGTATTTAATGAATAATAATTACATTCATTAACCAATCACATTATAAACTAATATTATTAATTAAATAAAAATACAATTCCGTTTTAATTATTAACAGACTTTTGTCCCAGCTCAACCGATTCGGATGGAACATAAAAATTTTCATTGATTTCTCTATATGCCAACCACATTTTTTTCTTTTTTATTCCTGCAATTTATGTGTCGATGACCTGACCTGTAATAAAGTCTCAATCGATCATTTGCAACTCGTAATTTACGTCACGTCAGTGGTCTCGGCAACCATCGAAACAAATGGATGCAAATTAATACAGAAGGCTTTAATGCGGGTGCGGCTTTCATGTGCTATTGTCGATCTTCGCGCATATGTTGGCGCTATAGGCCCGACAAGGATGCATGATAATGCCAATAACATCTGTTAAAGAATAATACTATCAACAGGAAACTGTCTAAGCGAAGCACGCTCTTTGTGCAAAAATAGAATTACCCGTTGCAGCCAAAGAAGCGAGAGAGAGATGGAGAGTTAGTCACTTTCAACAGACAACAGATTATTAGATTCGCGATACTACCTGCGCACAAATGCTGTAAAGTTACGAGCTCCGTATTTACGACAAGAAACAGGGTCGTGTATCAAGTGACGCAGGATATTCACCTCACAAAGATGCACACATGCGTGTATCTCGCGTGTTTTATATGATTTACTTGAAATAAATATTGTAATGCGAGAAGAAATAGTTTTGAAAAATATTATATTCAATATAACGCCGTCTACATTATTGAATATACGTTTATCTATAGTCATTGCATTAATCAAATAAATAGAACTTTTTTAATAAACAATATAAAATATGAAATTTAATAAGGTTTAAATAAATAAAATATAGATAATAATCTATAATACATATCTTTTTATGAAAAATATAGTACATGAAACTTACTCTCTCTTGTCTTTTCTCTTCACCGTACCGCAATTATAATTATATTTTTTCACATAAATAAAAATAGTGATATTTTCCAATTCTCTTCTAATTGCATGGTAACTATCTTTCTGATTGCAGATACCGCAAATAAGTTACGCATCCACCAGCACAGAACTCTCGGATAAAAGCCGATTCGAGTACTTTAGCAGAGTGGTACCACCCGACAATTTTCAAGCACAGGCGATCGTCGAGGTGATCCATCTGCTCGGATGGAAATATGTTTCTACGGTTGCAGTGGAAGGCGAGTATGGCGAGAAGGTGAGTGTTGAATTTAATTCGAAAAAGTCAACACGTTATACATAAATTAAATTCAAACATAGGCAAGATATAAATGCGAGATACAAATTTGTACGACGTTTCCCTTGTCGTTTTTAACAAATTACTTGTACTGAAAAATTTATCCTCTTTTAGAACAATGATTTTAGAACGCTATTTTTCTATGATTTTCTTAAAAATTATTATTAGTACATTTTTTAAAATTATTTAGCGAAAAAGAACTTTATCTTGATAATATGGCAAAAATTATAAAAATTTTATTGTGCTAAATTGCAAACATTTCTCTGATAATTGTTCGATAATTACCTATTAAATATCGTAGAGTATAAAATTTTATCATAATTATTGCAAGTTCGTAATATATGAGAGATCGTAATAATTGCTTTATTTTCGTAATGCGTAAGGGGAGAACATATACCTGTCTTTATGAGTGGTATGCATATATTTCATGTTTCAAAGGTTTTTAATTATGATCAAATTTCAGAATTTCCAATTATAACAATATTATTTACCGATTCTTAAAATATGATCTGTCAAATTATTTTGAGCAGTACATTTGTCATATATATTTTATTTATATTATACATATTAATGTCTAAAGTCGGAAATTAATAAAAATAAAATATCTACGTAATATACATTATAACGCAATGTAACAATTAATTGTATTATCTCATTAAATCGCACCGCACAATCGTGTTAATGCTACGTTGAATAATAGTTATTATAACGATGGTAATTATGATATGAAATCGTTAACAAGCGAAGACGAAACTAATTGCGCAATCAAGCAAGAAAACGTGATGTTACAGTGCCATCCGCTGCTCAAATTAGGCGATTAGTATGCGACGGGAAATTCCACGCGAAGAGATTACCAGAGCAGTCCAATCTTATAAAAATTGCGGGAAGCAAAACTTTCTGCTCGGCTCCCTCTGTGCTTCTTGAATTTTTTGTTTCTTAATTGCAAACTTCGTAGAAGAAATTATGTAAGATATATATAGAAATGTGGAAAGAGAGAAATTACTAAATGCAATAGGAATTTCAATTTATGTTTTAAGAGTACTTATATAAAAGTTTAGAATTAAACATATAGATCTTATATGTTGAAAAAGCTTAGAATAAAAGATTTCAAATATTTTAACATCTAATTTAAAATAATATATAAAATTTTAAAATATAATGTAATTTAAAAATATATATATGTAATTTTAAAATATATGCGTAAAATAATATAATAATAATTTCAAAATATACATGTAAAACGTAGATATTCTTTAACATGATAATGTTAATATTATTAATAATTTTAAAAAAAGACTTAAAGATTTTTAGCATTTCTAACATTCATAATTTATTGTTAGTGATTGTAATTGTATCAGTCTTCGGATCTCTTTGAATCAAACTCACTATTTATTACTTACACTATCTGTGACCTATATTTGTAAATCCTGGTTTGAATAAATGCAATTCTCTTTCAATATTGAAATTCCAATATTGTTTTTTATTATTACCGCGTAATTACTAGACGAATGGGTAAGTATAATAAAATTTAACGCGGTAATTCAAGCGCGGTAACTCAACTGGCAATGCCCATAATTTCTCTTATGTTGAGGGACGTCGCGCAGGAATTTTTCATATTTGCGTGAACATTGATCGGAATACGATTTTATGGCCCAATTATACTGGCGAGATGGTCGGCTTTTGACAATTATGTCCATGACAATAGCGTGTTCCGTGTCTTAGAACGTGCAAATTTGCCGACGTCATAAATTGTACCGGCTGCGCGCGCTCTCGAAAGGACACTAGACGGAATGATGGTAATCACATTCCGAGTAATTAAACAGTGCCAGTGATCAGCCTAATTAATCTCTACCAGGTATTGCAATAGTCCGGCGATCACTTCGCATGAATAAGTTTGTTATCGCGTGCGCGATCCCATTCCTGTAATAAATATACCGAAACCGCGCGACCGTCAATCTATTACATAATGTTAGAAAAAAAATTATATATAATAATATAAGAAGTTTAAAAATTTATCCAGAATACTTTATTTAAGAATACTCTATTTAAATTATATCCATATACAAAGTAAACTTTTGAGTTTATAATATAATGAAATAAATAATAAACTATATAATAACGAGATACTTCTAAAGTTTCTTTGGAAGTGGATTTAAAAAAACACATTATAAAATGCCTAAGGCGTAATCTTACTTAAATCTGATTCTACTACGATGGCGTTCAAGGGGATAATAAGAGGTTTTCTTTTGGTTTTTTAATGAAATTTATGAGGCGCTTCTTTCACACCAAATGCTAGGTACGCAGTACACTTGCGGCTGTTGCAAATGCGATGCATATTTCAGGCGTAAGCTCGCCTAAAGCGATTATACGAACGTGGCTTCGTTAATATCCTTATAACGGCACGAGATAAAATGCATGGGACGATTTATATCGCGAATTAAGGAACGAAAAACGCCTTGTACAAACTGTGGTCAAAGGTGACTACGGATGGAATTCTCCTGCAACAATAGCGTTTTCTAGGTACACATTTAACTATTTACATATTCATATTCTACGATCATTAATACGGCTAAAATCACCACTTAAAAAAATGGCTACTGAATTTTACTAAAGAGACGTCAAAGAATAAAATCATGTGTAATTTGAGATCATCAAGAACTCAAGATTGTCCCCTAGACACAAATACACATAATGAAACTTATAATATACGGAGAGATCTAAAAAAGGATCAGAATTATATATATATAGAAATAAAAAAGAACCAGGCTGCGACCAATGGTTAAAGGAAATGAGTCTCGTTAAGTAAATCGCCCGATAAAGCAACATTTTCTTGTTGTAGCAATTCTCATTATTTCGGGATAATTATGTCATTTGTCCGTTCTTCTCATTATCGATGTTCTTTTCTTTATACTCTTTATAGTACCAATCGAATCCACATCAACTCTGTATTGCATCTCCGTTTTGCATTCCAGATGTTTTAATTTTTTATCGCGTTTTCCTGAATGAATTTTTTATTTCCTCGGAAGACTATTTAACTTTTTTTTTCTTTTTTATATCTTTGTGTTCTCGGTAACATAAAAATTTAAAAGTTTAATACAATAATGACATAATTTTTTTATTTCGAGATTTTTTTTCTTTGAATCATAAAAAAGTTTATTGAATTTATTTGCTCAATTTTGCAATTATACATTATTTTATTTCTAAATTGCATGCTTATATATATGTAAAGGAAGATACATATTTTAAAGTTACATTTTTCAAAAATTGGGATTTGATGTTTTTCTCGACAAAAATGTTGAAACGTTAATAGTTTTTAAACCATTAAAAATGAAAGAAATATGACACGAGCGTAAATAAACCGCAGAACAATTTTGTCATACAATTTGGAATAGAATTTATTTTAACACAATTGTAACCTTTTATTTCTCAGCGGGGTGTTGGGCAGTCTTACCAATTTCCTCTTTCTTACCTAGTTGTTCTTACAATAGACAATAAAGAAGAGAGTCCTAATCCTATAGAAAATTAGTTCCGGGTATTGTCAAAGAAATAAGAACTTTGTTGACTCTTACTCGTTATAATTACGTCGAATAATACTAATCAGAAAATTCGATGAATAATGAAGTTTTAATCTTGATATACGATCATTGATCTTCATGCATCACAGTACCTGAGGCGTCTGCAGAGACCATTTCTAACACTCGTCAATTCACAATGAACATGCACTATGAAAATTTTTAAGCCATAATCGTTTCCTCAAATCCTCCACTACATTGTCCAAAAATTTCGTTGGAATTGCATCATCCAGTCCGCGGTATTATCACATTGTGCATTACTTATGAAATGACCCTTGTATAAAAGGCATAATAAAGAAACGTTTCTCTAGAAAAAAAATCATACAGATATGCATAATAAAATTTGTGTTAATTCATCAAAAAATGTACTAATTTACGAAAATTTAGCTGATTAAATTAAAGAAAAGAATTCAAAAGCAATATATTATTATTTCCTTATAATAATGATAAAATAAAATTTTTAATTAAGTAAAATATATATAAATAAACATTTCCTAAATATTCTTTTTTATTTGAAGAAGTCCAAATTGCAAATGATTCCGATAACACGCAATTTGAATCATCGGGATTTGTGTAATCAATGTTTTACTGCTATAACTTCAGTCAGAGAGAGAATATAGTCATTATTAATGAATGTTTAAATTTGCTCGATTTACAAAATTGCGGAAATACGGGAATAATTTTGCTATGTAATCCTTATAACGTGGTCGAATATCGTTGCAGAGTACACCAATATTTTATCATCCGGCGTACCGTAATAAATCGTGACAATTTTTATTACGCGAAACATGCCGATAACACCTGCGGATGCAACTCGGGTTGTATGTTGTATTTCGTATTCCGTATCATTCTTCGACCGTCTTTTCTTTCCGCGCGGGTTCTCTCTTCTCCGTTCACATATACGAGTGGGAATATATCACGGAACGCCGGATGTTATCGTGAAGACAGACAAGCGGCATTGACGTATTTATTTGTGTATATATCGTTGTGTATATAGCGCGAAAACATGAGAGACAGGTGTACACTGTTCATTCTGGTGTTTATTGTGTCGTAACTTATACAGTTGAAATTATATAGACAGAGACATTTACATAATGTTAGGATTGTTAATTAAACCTTTAAACTTTATTTTGCAATATTAAATTTGTTTTCAATTACTACATATTTATTGTATAGTTACTTATAATCTAATCAATTTGAATTTGATTTGCTTCAAATTTTATTCGAGATTTGATTATTTGAGTATTGATTATTGATATTTGAAATTTGATTTAGAATTTGAATTTTTATTTAGCGTAAGAGAGATATGGAGTTTTCCAATAAAAATACAGCGGAATAAATTTTTACTGCAAAAATGTGAGATTTAATTTTCCAGAAGAGTAAAAACATACTGCTATATCGTGCATTTTCTTTGGGCACTCCAAACAATAGTCGTGATATTTTATGCAAATTTTGAGAATTCGTCGTCAACGTTAAATGAATATGCAAATATAAGTTAGTAGATGCGTCCCCCTCAAACGTTCTTTACTATATTCCAATTGTTTACCAAGAAAACAGATTCGTATGTTATCGCCGGAATTCGATTTCTCGTTGGGCAGATGGACAATTTATTTGCGGCTGAAATTCTATTTTCAGGGCATCGCCAGTTTCATTGCCCTTGCGGGTGAATACAACATCTGTGTCGCAGTTAGCGAGAAGATCCTGAGAAATGCCAGGACCGAAGACTTCGATAGAATAATCGAACGACTGAGCTCGAAGCACAATGCCAGGGGGGTCATAATATTCGTCGACGAGGATAACATAAGGTAAGATAAGTTTGCCTTACATTTAAATGCGATCGTTGTTACATAAAATACGTATAAAAAACGATCTCACATAAATTGCGTTTAATGTGAAATTTGATATAATCATTGAATTACACGAAAGGAATAGACACAAGAGAATTATCAATATAATAAAAAATTTTAATCCAGATTTTTTTTTAAACAATTAATATCCTTTATCATCGGTTTAATATCGATGATACATAAATTAAACAATTATATACGATGCCATAAAATTGCCACACTAAGCCATAAAAATGCCATACAAAGCAATAAAATTCGCTTCAAATTCTCCAGTTGAAATCTAGCATAATATCAATGATAAGAGGGGAGGCGTAATTTCCGATTATCCTAAGGTCTAACGGCAGAAACAATATTGAATCCGGAAATCAACGTCCGCAATTAGGAGCGGATTGTTTAAACGCACGTGCTCTTGTCGCATTTGTGTCCGACATTCTAAGATAATTATGGCTGCTAAACGCCATGACAACGACAGAACGTGCAACATCAAACGAGCTTATCCGTCTTTTGCATAATCATAGCAGAATCATGCGACAAGTGATAAAGGAAGATAAAAAGAATTCTAAGATTTTTTGTGTGTGAGTTACGCGCCGAGGAAATTTTACAAATGAGCGAGAATGAAGAATACCATACCTTACTAAAGCAATTTAATATTATTATCCTTCCATGCATATATTTCTCCGCATCAAACAGATTTTCGCTTTTTTATAATTTTTTTTTTCACACTAAAGTACTACAAGGGAGTTCATTAATTTTTTTAAAGAGTTTTAAAAAGGCTAAGGATTAGTATTTAATATTCTGATCTTTAATAGGACAATAAAGAGCTAGGTTTTTTAAAACCAGAATGCATTAGTGAACTGTGAGCGGATCGAAACGTAACCAAGCGGACAAGATAATAGAGCGGCAATTAATCTCACTCTTTATGAAGTCGATATTTGCCAGTTTTTAGAAGCGGGCAAAGCGTGAATGAAGACGAACATACAATCGACTGCCTCACCCGCTTGTAATTCGAAAAATTTGAGCTTTACAAAACAATATAAAGCAATGAAATAATTCGCATTAAAGCCAGAACGATAATAATCGTAGAGAAATAAATTATTTATTGTTTTTGGATATTCTTTTTCAGTGGTTTTAAAATAGAAACTACAAATAAAACGTATTATTTGAAAACAAATTTTCGCTTGTATTGCACGTTGCACACACACTCATCTAAATACAATAGTAAAAGTTATATAACTGAAAATATATATTGATAATACTAACAACAAAGATATATCATATATTTTCGTTATTTGATCATTTTTATTTAAATGCATTTTTCAAATTTATCTTCTACAGTTTTTGCCACGGGTTTCCAGTAATTAATAAAGTGATCAATGACTTTTTGAGATAATGCAATTAGTTTTGCAATATGTTATTAATATTTTTTAAATAAAATTATACGCTCATTCTGTTATATAAACAGATTGATCCGTATATTCGAAATATACGCTTATTATTATTGCAAGTTCAATGAATGTTATTAATCTTTCACTATTCCACTTTTACGGCTCTCATTCTCTTCCAATTAATAATTACCGTAATGAAATAAAATGATTCAGCGTAAAATTGATTGTCAAACACAAGTGATCAATAAAAAACCACATTATTAATCATTTATACAGCGATAGCAAAGTATTGCGATAGTGTATAGTATATGTGCTTGATATTCGCGCACACATGCATGTATTGCATTTCATTCGAAATCCTTTATGAGCTTTCAGTCAAATCCCAATGGAAAACCATTCATTATAGAAGCAATCGCGGGCTAAAATAACGTATAATTGCTAATTGTGATTATAGTTATATCGAGCGCTTCGATGTGCTTGACAAGCGCACGCGGACACAATTTGAAAATTTATTTTAATCAATTATTAAATGACAGCTGTACGGACGATGACGGACGTAATTATTATGATTTGCTATCTTACATAAGAATATCGAATATGTTCTCCGCGATAATATTTGCATTACAGAATGACAGCTGTGCGGATAATGACGGACGTAATTATTACGATTTGTTATCTTACGTAAGAATATCGAATATGTTCTCCGCGATAATGTTTGCATTACAAAATTTTGTTGCGGAAAAAGCGTTCTATTTTCATAATTTTCGACACGTTTTTTATCTTTTGATCGTCGATATGCTATTTATATTCGGAATTAATTGCACTGTCAAGCCGAACAATAGATTCGGACATTATTACTTCTCTTTATTTCGAGTAACAAAAGAATTTTCGAAAGCACCTGTGACGCAATTTACGAAAATATCTAAAAATCTATTTTGTTATAATTTTTTGTTTCTATACTGGAAGAGAAAAAAAATGTAAAGGCTCATTTAAAAAGTTTTATGCCATGCAAAAATAATTAAGAGTTCTATTTACAAAGAAACGTGATTAATTATTAGATATAAAGATCTACTGCTTTTTATTGATCATTTTTTATACCAGTATTCAACGATTTATTAAGCGCTTAACTAATAAAAACTAAACAGGAATTTAATAGAAAGTTTTGTGACAGTGAAAGAAATTGAATCACTTTTCGAAAATGCTAAGCGTAAATATTTTATATTTGCTCGATTGTCATAGCGACCGCAGTGCGAAACAATCTTGTGATTCTTATGCTTTTTCCTTAAATAAAGAATTATCGCGTAAAAGCTTTACATATCTCACAACCTCCGTACAATACTTTAATAGTGTATTCTAGAGATAAAATAGAGTCAAAAATTCTAATATAAAAATTTTAAGGCTGCAATAGTTTTTGAGTTAATAAGTTTGCCAATGATATCGCGTAGAGCTCGCGCGCTCAGATCCGTAACTACACATACTGTACCGATCTGTCATCTGTTATTGATTTTACAAATCAGGTAATATCGATTTTTATTGCACAGCTGATTTTATTGTTTCTTATGTGTATGAATACCATGTACGGCGGTCAGCTGATATTAACGAACTGCAATGTTATTGGCAAACTTTGATCACTTATAACCCAAAAACTATTGTAGCTTCGATATTTTTGTATTAAAATTGTTTACTCCATTTTGCCTCTAGAATACGCTATTAAAATATTGTACGGAGATTATGAAACATCCTGTATATATATATGTAAGGTGCGCCTCCTCTGTGTGTATTCGCCCATATTATATGTGTTATATCACGTGCAACTATACGGGAAGTAACATGCGGTTTTGGCTCTCCGAGGAGATCACGCTGTTCATCACCGCAGCTGTCATCGAGGAAACCCGGAACTGGCAGACTGGCCTCTGCAACCGAGCAGCAACCTCTGCTGTAGCTCGGAATATTGCAATTTATTCTCTGAAGACTCTTGAGCTTCTCCCAGAAGTTGCCTGATCGTAGGATGTATTTTAACATAGAGTGTTATTCGAAAGTTTCTCGCGATGTCGCATATGGCCGTTGAAACTCCTCGAAGGTACCAAACGGTTTACAACGTTAAGCAAATATTGGAGAACAAACAAAACGCGAGAGAAATTGTTGAAGATATACGAAACATAGCATGATTCGCCGCAGTGCGGCTAAGAACGGACATTTCCGCGCCATATATTATTGCTGAAACAACCAGATTGCGCTCGATTCAGTGGCTTTAACAATAGGCGGCTAAAGCAAAAAAGCACAGAGAAGAAAAAGCACATAGCTTGCATTATACTACGCATCGGAAATCTTTTTTACTCCCGCTGTATTCATTATTCCAGCTAAAATATTCCGCGTTTCCAGCCAACGGAAGCTTCATTAGTCCGGTTTCATGTCCGAGTTTCGTGATTACTCGATCGCTTATATTTATCTAACAAGTATACTAAATTACATTATATCCTATCGTAGAGTTATCACAATTAAAAAAATGAATAAAATTTTCAGTTTTGCATTTCATAGTAATAAATTTAGTTAGCTATGTAATTAAAATTATTTTAGATCCAGTATTTTATTTTTTTTATCTGCATACAAAATTTTCTAGATGTGAAATAATAACGCAATAAAGATATTATAAATATTGAAACTAGTATGTTAAATATATACACAAATACATTGTGTAAAGTTAACTTTTATTATTTTAAAAGAATTTGAAAAAAATATTATTTATTATATGCAAATAATTTAAACCAAACATTGAAGAAGATGATAGATATAAATCATCGAAGCAAACGTCCAGAAATGTAACCTTTTCGTACTATATTTTTATTGGAACTCTTCCACATATATATTACACATAATATAAATAAATAATGTAAGCATAAAGTTTTCTGCCATATATCTTAAGTATAATATTACATATAGATACGAGAGATACGAGACTATTATAGTAGAATTTGGAACTTCTCCAGAGAACATTGCAACCTTTCGTTGCTCGATATAATTTCACTTTACGTCTATAAAGATAAGTTACGGCAATCGTCTTGATCATAAACCTAATTTAACGCTTTTGGCGAAACACCAATGGCTTTCGAGTTATAGATAATAAAAAATGTTAGAAATTTTCTCAAATAAAACTTTACAGTGGTATGAATAAAAATAGAAAAATCTCATTTTTATTCAATTCCTAAATATTTTAACATTAATAAAATTATAATTTAATAAAATAATTAATAAAATAATAATTATTAATTTAATTATTTTAACAAAGCTATTTATAGTTATCGCACCTATTAAAGATCTTTCATATTTATTTTATCTCATATAATTTTTGCTAAATTACAAGTCGGTTTGAAAAAATCTAAATATGAGAAAACTCGGAATATATATTTTGTATGTAAAATGTGTCTTTAAGAAAAAGAAACATAGTGATATTTTTTTGCGTGTTTCTCGTGGAAACGCTAACAAAGGCAATTTAAAATAATGTAACGTAGAAGTTTTATATCGTGCTTTTATGGTTTCAAATTTTAAAACGCATAGAAATGAATAACGCCATCG